CCGGTCGTAAGTCGAGGACTACTCAACTGGTGCAGCACCGTTTGCAGAATGGGGCTTTTGGCGGGCTCAGCAGGGCAGAGACAGCCTGGACAATTCCTATTGGCTTTTGAAAGCCAATAGAATTAGACTCTATTCAAGAGAGTCTATTCTATTGGCTTTCAAAAGCCAATAGAATAAAAGGGAGTAGCACAGCTAAGGAAAAGGGGGAAAAATGGCGGACTGCGTTGTTTGGCGACCCCCGTGAAATGGTCGTTCGACCCCAAATGGGGTCCCGACCCACAGGTTGAGAACCACTGCTTTAAAACAAAACAAACCCCTTTTAATATGGGTGACAAACCTGCCAAATAGTCCAAAACACAAACAGCAAAACTCAAGTCCAAATGAAGGAAATAGTCCACAGGAAACACGATGCAAACAGAAGAGTAGTCACAAGCAAGACGAACAGACCAGGATCCAAAGAAGTATTTTGCAAACGGTTGCCTTCAGCAACCAGCACCACCCACACCTCCTCTTTTTATACAGCAGTCCCAAGGCGTTGCCTCTCAGAGCCTCCTCCTTTTACTCTGGAGTTGCCGTATTGACTGCTGCTGATTTACTCTCGCTAATTGACGACGTGTGTGAGCATCAATTAGCATGTCCATCAGGTGTGAGTCCTCCGAGTCTGACTCATTCTCCTCACACAGCTGAGCTTTATCAGGAACACGACTGGAGGGCCCAGGCTCTGCATCAAACCGTGAGTCCTGTAATTTATCAGAGCCTCCCTCTGCCCCTGATGGCCCTTCAAATGCCTCCTCCACCTCCTCCTCAGATTCCTCAGACTCAGCTGTTGGGAGCACAGGCTGGCACGGAATCACAACAGGGACCAGGATAGTGTGGTTGTAAGATAAAGTGATTCCCCCCCCCCCCAAAAAAAACAACCCCAAACCCCAACACACCTTTCTCCTTCTCTTTTCTTAACAACAACAGCCCTGTGGGGTGGGCTGGGCTCAGAAAGATTCATTGGCTTAGCTGGCTTTCCGGACTCAGGTAGGACTAGAACTCACCGTCTCCTGGCAATTAAGTCCTAAGTCACCTCGCTGGCTTTTATGCCTAAAAAAAATCACAGTCTCCCAATGTTTGGACCAAAGTCAACCTGCTGGCTTTCGTGTCTGTGGCAGGGCTAGAACTCGCCGTCTCCTAGTGGCTGGCTGAAAGTCAACCAGCTGGCTTTCATGCTTAAAGTGGGACTAGAACTTACCGTCTCCTGGTGATTGGCCTAAAATCAACCAGCTGGTTTTTATGCCTAAGGCAGGACTAGAACTCACTGTCTCCTGGTGATTGGCCCTAAGTCACCTAGCTGGCTTCTATGCCTAAGACAGAACTAAAACTCACAGTCTCTCAGTGTTTGGACCAAAGTCAACCAGCTGGCTTTCGTGTCTATGGCAGGACTAGAACTCACAGGTGATTGGCCTAAAATCTCACAGACGGCTTTTACGCTTAAGGCAGGACTAGAACTCACAGTCTCCTAGTGGTTGGCTGAAAGTCAACCAGCTGGCTTTCATGCCTAAGGTGGGACTAGACCTCACTGTCTGTCTCCTGGTGATTGCCCTAAAATCTCACAGATGGATTTCATGCTTAAGGCGGGACTAGAATTCACCGTCTCCTAGCAGTTGGCTAAAAGTCAACCAGCTGGCTTTCATGCCTAAGGCGGGACTAGAACTCACTGTCTCCTGGTGATTGGCCTAAAATCTCACATTCATGCTTAAGGCGGGACTAGAATTCACCGTCTCCTAGCAGTTGGCTAAAAGTCAACCAGCTGGCTTTCATGCCTAAGGCGGGACTAGAACTCACTGTCTCCTGATGATTGGCCTAAAATCTCACAGACGGCTTTCATGCTTAAGGCGGGACTAGAATTCACCGTCTCCTAGTGGTTGGCTGAAAGTCAACCAGCTGGCTTTCATGCCTAAGGTGGGACTAGAAATCACAGTCTTTTAGTGATTGGACCAAAGTTAAGCAGCTGGCTTTCACGCCTAAGGCAGGACTAGAACTCACTGTCTCCTGGTGATTGGCCCTGTCACCCAGCTGGCTTTTATGCCTAGTGGGAGACTAGAACTCACCACCTTAATCACTAGACCAAACTGACTTAATCTCTCTCACTGCCCCCGTGACTTTACTGTGGGTGTAAAGATTAATCCATGTGCCCCCTCCACTGTTGCTTTCACCTGCCCTTTTAACCCCCCCATTAAACCCCATAATCCCCTGCTTTGCTGGGCACGATGGGTAGTAGAAAAAGCAGCCTGTCACACCACCCCTGATGGAAGCCTTGGAAGGACCATACCAACATTGTTCAACGCCTCTTTGGCACGGCCAAGGTGCTAGTCCTCACACAGTTGCACGAGAGACCTGCAATTCTGTTGAATTGTCAGAGCAATGAAGGGTGGGAGGCGGGACCCGGGAGCCCTGCTGGGAGACACCACAAGTCACTAGGCCTCAATCCAGGAGGGGGCGTGTGCTAATCTGAGAGGGGCATGATGGGAAAAAAGCCAGCTTTTCCCATAATGCCGATCTCCTTGGTGTCATTTCTTTCCTGCAATCTCTGGAAAGCTCTCACTTCTTTCACCTGCTGCAGCCTGACCACCATTGCTAATTTGTCTCGCTTTCCTGGGTTCGCCTTTTCAGGCGCTTCCCGTGGTCTGTAGGTTGCCACGGCAACGCAGCAGGCCGCCGGCTCCATCCTTCGGCCTGCTTATTCGGGAATCAGGCCACTTTGCGATCGCCTCGTATTATGGGAGTCTTTCTTCAGACAGGGCCGCCTTTAACCAAGATTTAAAGCTATCATTATAAAAGCAAAGCCTCCATGGAAGCTGACGAGAGGGAACTGGTGCATGGACAGAGTGCTTCCCCCCCCCCGCCCTTCAGCATCTTCCATTTGCAAACTTGAAGAATCCAGACTTGCAAACCTGGGGTGTGAAGCCCACTCTGTGGCTCCATTTGAATCTGGGGTAGGGTCCCCCTAAACTGCCTGCCTCAGCCTGCTCCCAAACCCACTAGCCTCTGAGCATGTGAAGAGAACATTCCTGAGCAATACGCATCGAGCACGGCAAAGAAGGGTTGAATGGTAGAATCTCTGAATTAAAATAGGCCTCCTTTTTCACCAATAATGGCTTAATTCTAGTTTGTAAGTAACTCTTACAATCTGGGGTCTTCTAAACTGATTATATTCTGTCAGGTATTGATCAGGTGTTTAGTAACTCCATACAACAAACAAACAATGTTTACATGATACAACCAAATGCACAAGTACAGCATAGGTGGCACCATGCTCAATAGTAGTAACTGTGAGAGGGACCTCGGAGTCCTAGTAGGCAATCACCTAAATATGAGCCAGCCGTGTGCTGCAGCTGCCAAAAAGGCCAACACAGTGCTAGGCTGCATTAACAGAGGGATAGAATCAAGATCACGTGAAGTGTTAATGCCACTCTACAATGCCTTGGTAAGGTCACATTTGTAATACTGCATCCAGTTTTGGTCACTACGATGTAAAAAAGTTGTTGAGACTATAGAAAGAGTACAGAGAAGAGCAACAAAGATGATCAGGGGACTGGAGGCTAAAACATATGAGGAACGGTTGCTAGAATTGGGTATGTCTAGTTTAACGAAGAGAAGGACAAGGGGGGACATGATAGCAGTATTCCAATATCTCAGGGGCTGCCATAAAGAAGAGGGAATTAAGCTATTTTCCAAAGCACCTGAAGGCAGGACAAGAAGCAACGGGTGGAAACTAATCAAGGAGAGAAGCAACCTAGAACTAAGGAGAAACTTCCTGACAGTGAGAACAATTAATCAGTGGAACAGCTTGCCTCCAGAAGCAGTAAATGCTCCAACACTGGAAGTTTTTAAGAAGAGACTGGACAGCCATTTGTCCGAAATGGTGTAGGGTTTCCTGCCCGAGCAGGGGGTTGGACTAGATGACCTCCAAGGTCCCTTCCAACTTTACTATTATTATTATTATTATTATTATTATTATTATTATTATTATTATTATTATTATTATTATTATTATATTATATATGTGTGTATGTGTGTTTATTATATTATTATGTAATCTATATTATATAATACACGCACATTATTATATAAAACATAATATATTAAGATAAGATAAGAAGATAAGATAAGATGAGATGAGATGAGATGAGAAGAGAAGATGAGAAGAGAAGGTAAGGTAAGGTAAGGTAAGGTAAGGTAAGGTAAGATAAGATAAGATGACTATTGTCATTTTTTTACTGTGGGCACAACGGCACTCATCAAAAATGAAATCTAGTTGCTCACTCTCAAAGTGGAACACATACATGACACACACCTAAACATACTATATACAACGTATGTATAGACCAGGGGTAGGTACCCTTGGCTCTTTTATGACTCCTGGACTTCAACTCCCAGAATTCCTGAGCCAGACACGCTGAGGGGACAGGGAGAGGTTTCCAAGCTGAGCCGTGCTGGCTCAGGCATTCTGGGAGTTGGGGTCCAGAAAAGAGCCAAGGTTGCCTCCCCCTGGTATAGACCCATACCCCTACATATACATAACAAATAAATATTAAATACGGTGTGGACTTCAACTCCCAGAATTCCCCAGCCAATTTGGGAATTCTGGGAGTTGAAGTCCAGGCCTCTTAAAGTGAGCCAGACTGAGCAACACTCTGTAAAATGAGTTTTGACTCTTGGGGGATTTTTGTAGTCCTACCGACAATTTTCCATTCCATTTGATCTACCCTCGTACTGCGAACTTCCTGACCTCCCCCAGGCCTGCTCAAAGAATTCACCCGCGGCTCCCCCGTATCACGCAGCAACCCATTGCTAACCGAAAGAGAACCTCCACTGTCAGAGGCAGTCTATCTTAGATTATACCAGCCGCTCGATCGCCAGGGGAAAAAAAAATTCCAAAATTGGGCGATCGTTGCGCACTGTCGAATGTCTGAGGCCGCAGAAAAGTCACGCAAAGGACAGTGTCAAGTTACCTCTCCCCGATAAACAGCGTCCGGTTGATGGTCAGCATCCGTTGGATGTGGAGGCGCTCAGCCCCGGCCTCCTGGCTGGCGAATCGTCCGGGTCCGTTGCCCACAAACACGGCATATTGCTTGACGTCTGTGGGAAATCAAGGAGAGAGAGAGAGAGAGAGAGACGGGCGGGAAGTTACAAGTCGTCCTCAGTTTACGGCTCCAACGGAGCCCAACATTTCCGTTGCTAAGCGAGACCATTGCTCAATGAATCCCTGCCCCGTTTTACGAGGGAATCACTGTAGTTGTTAAGTTAGTAACATGGTTGTTAAGTGAATTTGCTTCGCCCTGCTTGTGACCCCCCCCCGGGGACACTGCAACCATCATAAATACGAGCCAGTTGCTAAGCATCTGAATTTTTGATCACAGGACCGTGGGGAGGCTGCAACGGTCCTAAGTCTGAAAACCCATCACAGGTCACTTTTTTCGACGCCGTCGTAACTTCGAACGGTCACTAAACGGACTGTTGTAAGTCAAGGACAGCCTTTATTGGGCAATTCCCAAAGGAATCCTGGTCTAGTTATCCAACCTCAGGATGAGGAAAGTCCAGGCGGCGGGAGGGTGGGGGGTGAAAATGCCTCATTGCTTTTTGAGGGATGTAGGATCAGGTCTGGACTGCTGGGGTGGATTCAAATCCTACTTCAAAGAAGCTTTGCAAAGAGCCCTGGTGGCACAGTGGTTAGAATGCAGCATTGCAGGCTAATTCACTGTTCACTGCCAGCAGTTCGATCCTGTCCGGCTCAAGATTGAGTCAGCCTTCCATCCTTCCAGATTGTTGGGGGGCAAGAGGCTGACTGTGTAAATTGCTTAGAGAGGGCTATTGCTCTCTATCTGTCTGTCTGTCTGTCTGGGTCTGTCTGTCTGTTTGTCTATCTATCTACCTATCATTTCTTTCTATCTATCTATCTATCTATCTATCTATCTATCTATCTATCTATCTATCTATCTATCTATCTATCTATCTATCTATCTATCTATGGGGGCAAATGTACTTTCAGACTGGCAAGATTCTGTTAATGTGTCAAGTATTGATTTAACAGCTAACCAGCATATGTAATGTAAGATGTAAAATGTAATGATGGGAATGACTCGGCAGGGTCTGTGTCTCTTGAAGAGCCTTCGTATAAAGGGAAGGCTCTGCTGATGTGTTCTCTCTCTTCCGTTTCCTGCTGTATCTGTGGTTTGTTGGATCCTGCTGTATTAGCAGGTGTATTTATATTTATATTTATATTGTATTTATATTGTTACTGGTGTATGATATTGTAGATCAGTGGTGGCGAACCTATGGCACGTGTGCCACAGGTGGCACGCAGAGCCCTCTTTGTGGGCACGCTCACCATCACCCCAGTCCTAGGCCTTCAGCTGGGTTTTATAAAACCTTTTCGCTTTAGGCCTCCACTGCCGTGTGCAAAAAAAAAAAGAGGTTCAATCAATCAATCAATTTCAACTTCTTGTGGGAAAAAAAAAGATCTTGCAAAGTTGGAATTGATTGATTGAACTTTTTAGTTCCGTTACCACTGCAGCCACGCCCACCCGGCACCTGACGATACATAAGTGGGTTTTGGGTTGCAGTTTGGGCACTCGGTCTCTAAAAGGTTCGCCATCACTCTTGTAGATAGTGTAAGATAAATCACCACGTGATCGCAATCCAGGTGTCTGACAACCAGCTTATACCGGCATTTAGGATGACTGCCACATCTTGATCACGATTCACTTAACGACCACAAGATTTACTTAATGACCATGTGATTCATTTAACAACCACATGATTCCCTCAACAATTGCACGATTCACTTAGTGACCGTACAATTTACTTAACAACTGCACGATTCACTTAATAACCACACGATCAACTTAAAGCCACATGATCCACTTAATGACCACACGATTCACTTAACAGCCGCAGGATTCATTTAACAACCGTACTATTCACTTGATGACCCTTTGATTCACTTAACGACCACACTTCACTTAAAGGCCACACGATTCACTTGAAGACTACACAATTCACTTAATGACCACACGATTCACTTGAAGACCACACAATTCACTTAACGACCACACACTTAACGAGCATACGATTCACTTAATAACCATGGTATAAATGGTCATAAAATCAGGTCCAGTCCTGTGAGGATTCGCTTAGCAACTGGATTGAATAGCAACCTTAATTCTGGATCCATGTTATGGTCGTAAGTCGAGGACTACCTGTCGTTCCACAAGGTAAACCCCAGTTGGAAAACGGTTTGCAAAAACTTTCCAGCCGGGCACTTACAGTCCTCCAGAGCGACGCTGATGGGCCCAGATTCTTCAGGGAAGTGGGCGCGAGACGTCCTCTCCAGCAGCAATAGGAAAATGAGAGGCAGGCAGGCGGGGTTCATGGCTTCCGTGCGGCGTGCCCTTCGCATCCCTGGAAAATTTCAAGGGAAGACAACCGAAGAATATTAAGCTGTTAGCCAGTGGTGGGACTCAAATAACTTAACATCCGGTTCTCTGCATGGATGCAGGCCTGGGCCTCCGAGGCCTAGAATGGCCTTCCGGAAGTGACATCCACACACTTCCGGTGGGCTGTTTTAGGCCTGGGAGGCCTCCTCCAGGCCTCCAAGGACTAGAATGGACTTCTGGAAGCGACATCCACGCACTTCCTGTGGGCTGTTCTAGGCCTGGGAGGGTTCCTCCAGGCCTCTGAGGCCTAGAACGGACTTCCGGAAGTGACACCCACGCACTTCCGGTGGGCCGTTTTAGGCCTGGGAGGCCTCCTCCAGGCCTCTGAGGCCTAGAACAGACTTCCGGAAGTGACACCCACGCACTTCCGGTGGGCCGTTTTAGGCCTGGGAGACCTCCTCTAGGCCTCCGAGGCCTAGAACGGACTTCCAGAAGCAGCATGGGTTCAGCCGGTTCTCTGAACTCAACAAAATTTAGCTACAAGTTCTACCAAACCAGTTTGAACCGGCTGAAGCCCACCACTGCTGCTAGCCCAAAAAAACTCAGTGTATAACCCATACCGTGACCCATACCATAGCTTTGGGAAAAAACAAAACAAAGCATCAAGGGAGCTACCCGTATTTTCTCCCCCAAAATAAGACTCTTATATTCATTTTTGCTTCAAAAGACGCACTAGGGCATTATTTTCTGGTTAGGTCTTATTTTTGGGGGGGGGGAAACAGGGTAGGATCCAAAGAGCTTGAACCCCAGGCCACACCGGACGCCTACGCTTGCCGTTCTCTTGTGGATTTATTTCCAAAATCCACCACATGCCTCTCCTGCTTTCCCCCTTCTTCTTGCCCTTAGCAGGTTCGCTGTGGAAATGAAGATGCCAATTGCAAAGACAGATCTCCTCTCCGATGACCCCGTGTGTCGGAACCATTTATCATCCAATTTCTAGTTTCCCCGGCCTTTCACTGTGGGCGCCTCCCGATTTCCCTTTGAGTTCCTCTGGGAAAGTTTTTAAGCTAACTTGGTTGATGGAAGCCAGGAACAGGGGGTCAATCCTGATATTGTTGCTTTCTAGGCGTTCCATCTTGTTAGCCGTAAATCTTGGAGAGGTTCTCAACTCGAGCTAGAAAAGTGGATTAATATCTTTTTATTTACGCATAAGTGAGAAGTAATCCCAAAGCTGCTTTTTTTCATAACATATGGAATGACTATCGGTTGCAGGAATATCGGAAAAGCTCACGAGGATCTTAAGCCAACACAACGTACGTGCATACTTCAAACTCAAGAATACCGTAAGGCAGAAGCTTGTCTACCCCAAAAGATGAAACACCAGACGCAAACTGAGCAACATGGTAGATGCAGTACAGTGCAGTGAGCCCTGTGCAGATCTGTACATCGGGGAAACAAAACAACCATTTCACAAACACAAGGCACAACATAAGAGAGCAAACCCATCAGGACAAGAGTCAGCCGTCCATCTGCATTTGAAAGACAAAGGCTTGAAAGAGGAGGCAAAGAGGAGGCAAAGAGGCCATCTACGTCAAAATTGAGCTGCCCTCTCTCAACAGAGGGGGAGAGACACAACATCATCTATCTCCAGTCTACAACACCGTTCTTTTGGCAGTTCCAAGAAGGCTGCACACCCATTTGCAGCACTCAGGTGACCCTGAGGACACAGATAAGCCTCCAGGTGGCCTCAACAACTCTCCAAAAGGATGCAAATGACCGGCTGTCTGCAAGGAGTATAAATCCTTCCATTTCCCCACGGTCCAGTCAGAACTGAAGAAACTTCTTGGACGAGAAGTACAGAGAAGAGCAACAAAGAGGATCGGGGGACTGGAGGTTAAAACATATAAGGAATGGCTGCTGGAATTGGGTATGTCTAGTTTAATGAAGAGAAGGACCAGGGGGACATGATAGCAGTCTTCCAGTATCTCAGGGGCTGCCCCAAAGAAGAGGGAGTCAAGCTATCCTCCAAAGCGCCTGAAGACAGGACAAGAAGCAACAGATGGAAACTAATCAAGGAGAGAAGCAACCTGGAACTAAGGAGAAACTTCCTGACAGTGAGAACTATTAACCAGTGGAACTACCTGCCTCCAGAAGCGGTGAATGCTCCAACAATGCAAGGTTTTAAGAAGAGACTGGACAGCCATTTGTCCGAAATGGTATAGGATTTTCTGCCTTAGCAGGGGGTTGGACTAGATAACCTCCAAGATCCCTTCCAACATTATTATTATTATTATTATTATTATTATTATTATTATTATTATTATTATTCAAGAAAGTCCAGTTGCCTCATGAAAAAGCACCTTTGGGACAACCAGGACCTGGATGACTGAGCATCTCCAGAAATGAAAAGTGACTTTCCCACAGGTAAAAGTAGAAAGATCCTTAGAAATGGAGACATAACTTTATACATGTAGTCCTGGACTTAACAGCAGTTCATTTAATAACCGTTCAAAGTTGCAACGGCACTTGTGACCCTTTTTCATGCTTACAACCGTCGCAGCCTCCCCGTGGTCAGGTGATCAAAATTCAGATGCTTGGCCACCGGTTCCTATTTACGACGGTTTGCAGTATCCCGGGGCGATTCATGGGAACTCCCCTTTGCAACCTTCTGACAAGCAAACTCAATGGGAAGCCAGAGCTACTAAACAACCGTGTCACTAATTTTACAACTGCAGTGATTCACTTAATAACTGTGGCAAGAAAAGTCATAAAATGGGGCCAAATTCGCTTAACATGTGCCTCAGTTAGCAACAGAGATTTTGGACTCAATTGTGGTCATGAATTGAGGACTATTTATACCAGGGGTAGGCAAGCTCGTGGACTTCAACTCCCAGAATTCCTGAGCCAGCCATGCTGAGGGGAAAGGGAGAGGTTGCCATGCTTAGCCATGCTGGCTCAGGAATTCTGGGAGTTGAAGTCCACGAGTCATGAAGGGGCCAAAGTTTCCCTCATGCTGGCTCAGGAATTCTGGGAGTTGAAGTCCACGAGTCATGAAGGGGCCAAAGTTTTCCTCATGCTGGCTCAGGAATTCTGGGAGTTGAAGTCCACGAGTCATGAAGGGGCCAAAGTTTCCCCTATGCTGGCTCAGGAATTCTGGGAGTTGAAGTCCACGAGTCATGAAGGGGCCAAAGTTTCCCTCATGCTGGCTCAGGAATTCTGGGAGTTGAAGTCCATAACTCATGAAGGAGCCATAGTTTCCCCCATGCTGGCTCAGGAATTCTGGGAGTTGAAGTCCACGAGTCATGAAAGGGCCGAAGTTTCCCCCATGCTGGCTCAGGAATTCTGGGAGTTGAAGTCCACGAGTCATAAAAGAGCCGAGGTTGCCTAGCCCTGGCCTATACATAGTTCAAGCATGTTGGGTTTGGAATACGTTCTCTCATTGGCTAGCATCACTTGAGTCATAAACCATCTTGCAGAGCAAGTCCAGCGTCTTTATATGTTCTACAGTTGTCCTCAACGTACGACGGCTCATTTAGTGACCGTTCAAAGTTATAATGGGATTGGGAAAAAGGGACACGACCGTTTTTCATCCTTGCGACCGTTGCAGCAGCACCCCCCATAGTCACGTGATTAAAATTCTGACGCTTGGCAACTGACTCGTATTTATGACGGTCATGGTGTCCTGGGGATCACGCGATCCCGTTTGGCGACCTTCTGACAAGCAAAGTCAATGGGGGAAGCCAGTTTCACTTAACAACCGTGTTACTAACTAGCTGGATCGATATGTTTCAACAACTGTGGCAAGAAAAGTCGTAAAACGGGGCAAACCTCACTTAAGAACTGCCTCGCTTAGCAACAGCCATTCCAGCCACTTGGCTCAAAAAAGGTGCCGTTTTTAAGAAAACCAGCAGAAACCCTGCCTGCAAATATAATTTTAAGATACCGATTTAGAAGCAGTCCCGTTCAATTTGTGGGGACCTATTTTCTCCAAAGCGAATAATTAGCGGCTTGCAAATGCCTCCTTGCCAAATCCCTGGCAAGACATCTGTCAGTCAAAAACAGGAGGGGAGACACACAGAAGACCATCTGTCGTTGCGCTGATTCAGGGATTGATTACATGCCATCATTTTTTGGGGGAAAGATTTTTTTTTAATCCCGCCTTTATTTTTGTCATAAATAACTGTAGGGGGTGAACATTTCTAATGTGCCTTCTGCCTCCTATTTTCCCCACAACAGTCCTGCGAGGTGGGTTGGGCTGAAAGGGAATGACTGGCCCAAAGTCACCCAGTTGGCTTTTATGCTTAGGACGGGACTAGAACTCACCGTCTCCTGGTGATTGGCTCAAAGTCATCCAGCTGGCTTTCAGGCCTAAGGCAGGACTAGAACTCACAGTCTCCTGGTGATTGGCCCAAAGTAACCCAGCTGGCTTTCAGGCTTAAGGCGGAACTAGAACTCACAGTCTCCTGGTGATTGGCCCAAAGTCACCCAGCTGACTTTCAGGCCTAAGGCGGGACTAGCTCACAGTCTCCTGGTGATTGGTCCAAAGTCACCCAGTTGGCTTTCAGGCTTAAGGCAGAACTAGAACTCACAGTCTCCTGGTGATTGGCCCAAAGTCACCCAGTTGGTTTTCATGCCTAAGGCAGGACTAGAACTCACTGTCTCTTGGTGATTGGCCCAGTGTCACCCAGCTGGCTTTTGGGCCTAAGGCAGGACTAGAACTCACAGTCTCCTGGTGATTGGCCCAAAGTCACCCAGCTGGCTTTCATTCCTAAGGCAGAACTAGAACTCACAGTCTCCTGGTGATTGGCCCAAAGTCATCCAGCTGGCTTTTAGGCCTAAGGCAGGACTAGAACTCACAGTCTCCTGGTGATTGGTCCAAAGTCACCCAGCTGGCTTTCAGGCCTAAGGCGGGACTAGAACTCACCGTCTCCTAGTGACTGTCCTGACACCCAGCCATGAAACCAAACTAGCCTTTGACTGCATTGAGTAGAGGAAGACTGAGCCGGTTGGAAGGAGAAGGTGTGA